TAAATGTACTATTTATCTGATTTATACTAAACAAGATGGGTATGAACATATAATAAGGAAACTGAAGAGAGTGAACATTATCACAAACTTGTATTTATTTTATTAAATAAAAAATCTCAATTTTCTTGCATCATGTTGGTGATTTTTCTTGCATGGTGTTTTAACTATTGCAGTTAATAGATATGCATATGAAAAATACCCACTTAAGAAAATGCTATCACAGCCAAAAGCCTGTGCTACTGGACAAACAGCAACTGAAAAAACTGTTCTGGCATGATTAGTTTGCATCTTAGTTGAACAAAGATAAACAAAACTGGCCTGTAATTAGCTATTACAAATTTATTGGTTCCTTCTGGTGTTACCATCTATTCTAGACCATTTTTAGACATTTTGATTACTTTATTACAGTTCATTGCCTCTCCCAGTTTGTCTAATGAACTGGTAACAATCTTACACTGTGTAGGCAGACTTCTTGTGTTAAATTAGCTGATCTCTTTTATGTTATTCTTGTATTTTAGTATTGATTCTGAACCAATGGCATTGCTTGCTTTTGTATTATAAGCTAAAAGAAAGAAGGAGAAATAAATATGCGAAATGAATGATCATAAGATTCATGAAAAATGTATGAAAAAAATACAGTTTTTATCATTGTGGACAAAAAATTATAATCTTGTTTCTCTGAGATGTTATCAGTGTCACATGCTGCGTTCAAGTCATCTCGTAGTAATTACGGGTTGAACGCACTTTAACGCCACCACAATGTCGTAAATACCAGTGGGGAGCTCGGGATTTTCTTTAAGCCCCGATCTGTACGAGTTGGGGGCGTGTCAGTGAGAAACGTTCATTCAACGTCTTTTGACGGTAAATTTTAATTGAATTTCAATGTTTACTCATTGACATTGTTAGGCTTTTTCATTTATAAAGCAAGCTCTCTGCACAAAATATGATATCATTATAATATAAAAATGATACCTGATTAGGGTTAGGGTTAGGGTTAGGTTTTTTAGGGTTAGGGTTAAGAGTTTACATTGGCTTCATAAGCTAATAAAAAACATAAAAAGAAAAACACACCTGATGCGCATTCTTTGTTCTTCATTTTTTTATTAGCAGAGTTAACAAACCTTGCTGTATTTTCGTGTTATTCATTAAAAGAAGGCACACCGCCATTTTGCTCCGACGAAACTGACTTGAACGCACCTCACGTCGTAAACACGACTTCCCACATCATACGTACGAACTTCCCAGGAGGACTTGAACGCAGCAACAGTCCTTGTCTGCACCAGTCTGTCTTCGTCTTCTGCACTACACTTCCCAGGATCCTCTTGTCTCCACACCTGAACTCAGCCACCGGTTCATCGTCTTGTTCATCTGTATCACCTGTCTTCACCTTGTTATGTTTGATTCCGTTCTTGTCTTTTAACAGTTTTGAACAAGCTATACATGCTTTTATTTCATCTCGATTAGACTACTGTAATGCACTCTATACTGGTATAAATCAAAACGCACTTTCACGATTACAGTTAGTCCAAAATTCTGCAGCACGACTTTTAACAGGAACCAAAAAACGCACACACATAACGCCAATTCTCGCCTCATTGCACTGGCTTCCTGTTCGTTTTAGGATTGATTTTAAGATCTTATTGTTTGTTTTTAAAGCTGTAAATGGACTGGCCCCAACATATATTGCGGACCTCATTCAAATTTATGCACCAGCTAGGTCATGGAGGTCGGAGAGCCAGTTCCAGCTCGCTGTTCCTAAGACAAGACTCAAAACTCGAGGGGACAGGGCTTTCTCTGTGGTGGGACCAAAACTTTGGAACTCTTTGCCCCTCCATGTTCGAAATGCCTCGACGGTTGAGAGTTTTAAGTCTCGTCTAAAGACACATTTTTATTCCTTGGCTTTTAATCCTGCGTGAGTTGTGTGGTCTTTTTGATGTCTGTTATTATTTTACTGTATTCTTAGACTGAGATGTTTTTATTTTTTAATTTGTTTTTATTATATGCTAATTGATCTGGATGTATGAATCATCTGTGCAGCACTTTGGAAACTTCCTGTTTATAAAATGTGCTATAGAAATAAACTTGGATTGGGATTGGGATTGGGATTCATGCTTGTATTTAGTTTGCTTCTGTTCAGTCTGTCCTTGTCGGTCGATGTTCATTTTACCCTGTGTTGCTTCCATCTTCTGCCTGTATCCGTGCTTGTTTTTGTGAGTAAAAGTTATATTAATTGGGAATCTGGACTCTGTTTGATCTTCTGCCTGCACCACACTGTGACAGATCGACTGACCTCAAACCTACAATGGATGCTAATATGAAATTAATTTTGCTGGAACAATCTCTCGAGGTCCACACCGCGGCTTATCTCGACCTGGCGTGCTTTAGCTCTTTTCCCGATCTCTCATTGAGTTTTCTTCTATTCAGCCCTCAATGCAGAGACAAAGGCACGCCTGCCCGGTGTGGGACCTCAAGAGAATTTTGAGACGTATGTTGACTGGGTACTTCTCTGTAATGGGTCGCCAGTTACCGTCGGGCCCTGCGATACCCACTGAGAGGAATCCACCCACCCTGAGCCTTTGTTGCTGGTTCCTCCAAGCACAGAGCTTCTCATCAGCCCTGTCCAGCCCTAGACCGAGACCGTCCAGCCAGAGCCAGAGACCATGTTCCCTCCCAGCCTCCCTCTCCCACCTCCTCCTAACCATCACGTTTTGACCGTTCCTCCACCACTGCTTGGTAACCCCACTGCTTCCCCGGAGTGCTTCGAGGAGGTGGAATCGCTGTGGGTCTGCCTGCCACCAACTCCATCAGGGTCAGGGGATCCTCGGACCTCCTCGACCTGGACTCTGCTGCAGCCTTCCGGTCCATTACCTCCACCATGGCTCGTACTTCCCTCACCGCCGCCGCTGGCTCCGCTGCGGTCTTCAGGTCCCTCGTCTTGGCCTCGGTCGCCGGAGCCATCTGTGTCACCAAGTCCCTCCAGCCTTTCAACATCGCCCTGGCTCGATGGCTTCACCTTGGTCTCCTCGATCACCTGCTCCGCCTCCATCAGTCGGCTCCCTGGAGTCGTCAGTCCCGCCTCCTCCATGGCTCCTCCCTCCGTCTTCACCGCCGTGGCCGCCTGAAGTGGTCTTCACCGCCGTGGCCACCTGAAGGGTCTTCACCGCCGTGGCTGCGCCCTCAGCCTGCTCCGCCACGCCCTCAGCCTGCTCCGCCCAGGCCACGCCTTCAGCCTGCTCCGCCACGTCCTGCTCCGCCCTAAACCTGTTCCGCCAAGTCCACATCCTGCTCCGCTCTGGCCACGTCCACATCCTGCTCCACCCTGGCCACGCCCTCAGCCTGCTCCGCCACGTCCTGCTCAGCCCTGGCCACACCCTCAGCCTGCTCTGCCCTGGTCACGTCCATATCCTGCTCCGCCCTGGAGGCTTCCTGTCCAAGTTTAGCCACGCCCTGGCCAGCCTTCAGGGCGCCCTCCCTCCTCTGTTCTACGGCGTGAGGTCACTTACCGGGAGGAGGGAGTGATGTCACAGTCCTCGTCTGCACCAGTCTGTCTTCGTCTTCTGCACTACACTTCCCAGGATCTTGTCTCCACACCTGAACTCAGTCCCTCAATCAGCCACCGGTTCATCGTCTTGTTCATCTGTATCACCTGTCTTCACCTTGTTCTGTTTGATTCATGCTTGTATTTAGTTTGCTTCTGTTCAGTCTGTCCTTGTTGGTCTGTTCATTTTACCCTGTGTTGCTTTCGTCTTCTGCCTGTATCCGTGCTTGTTTTTGTGAGTGAAAGTTATATTAATTGGGAATCTGGACTCTCTGTCTGATCTTCTGCCTGCACCACACCGTGACAATCAGATGGTATAATCTCCTGATTCTTCTGATTTTCTGCTGATATGTTAATGTTGAAGAGGAAGATATTCTGATTTCATGCGCTAGATTGGACAAGTGGGTTTAATGATTTAAAAAGAAAGAGGATCTGGATTCTGGAAGAATCTGGGAATGATATTCAAGTTTATCAGATGACCTGATTACGACAAATAATCTCTATTGCAGGCCACTGCTAATTACGGTCACTTCTTACTTTCACGGTCGCATACATTTTTTGGGTGCTTATGAGAATGGCTGGGAGGCTAAAAGTCTGGACCAATGCATGTGAGAACAGCAGGCGGTATTGTTATAGGATAATCAGCTCCTGCCTCTAATTAAAAAGCTCACGTTTCACAGACAAAATCAGCTCAAAGTGGACTTAGCAACATTTTCAAGCAAAAGGGAAAATATGGTTCTGGATAAGCCTTTTCATGTGTCTGAAACTATTAAGCTCACAGACCTAGACGTTTGTTGACAAGGTGGAAATGTAGCCATATAATGGCCACAAAAACATATGAGTCTAATTATATTTTAGATAACAAAGTCTCATTGTGGAGTTGGTTGTTTTTTGTTTTCTTTTCATACATGTGAATTTACTGTTGCACAGTTGAATGAATAAGCATATTTAATTACAGTGCAGATTGCGTGTATCTGATTAATTACAATGCTGATTGCAAGCAGTTTAAATAAGTATAAAAAGTAAATGTATTGTCAATCAATCAATATATATATATACAATGCTATAAAACACAATATTATCCTTGTCTTTTCTTTTGTTTTTCTTATCATTTGTATTGTTCAGCACTTTGGTCAGCCTTGTTGCTGTTTTTAAATGTGCTATATAAACACAAACTTGAAACTTGAATATTTTAATACAGTAATCAATATTCCTACTACTTGATAGCTAATGAAATGTATTTTATTAATGAAAGGTATTATGAAGTGTTACCAATAATCGTAGCCTACTGTTTATTTCCAAGAAAAACTACACAACATTAAGTAATCCAGTGTAGAAGTATTAAAGTGGTTTACTGTGGGAATTTAACTTCCAGCCAATCAGAATGTTGGGAACCTCCTCACACCATAAACACATGCCATATAAATTCTCAGTCGACTGTGAGGTCTTCACTGTCATAAAAACACAAAAATGCTAGACTCGCTGACATTTCTATTCGAGAAATTCTTTCTTTTCTCAAATTTTAATCTTTTTAAAAGTATATGGCAGGGGACGGAGAAGTGTGCGGTGAGATGCCCAATGCTCAGGAGAGGAGATCTATTGGAGGTGCAGCGCACTCTCTTCGTTCATTACGGCATCTATCTGGGCGAGAACAGAGTGGCGCACATGATGCCTGACATCATGCCCATATTAACTAACGACAAACAGCTCATTAAACCAGTTGTCACCAACAAAAGACTCATTTTAGGCTGCATTTACAGACACGCGAGTATACGCGTGGATTCGGTTGAAGATTTCGCGTATGGAGCTCAGATTCTTGTGAATGATATGGACATGAAAATGAAGTGCCAAGCCCTCGCGAGCGAAGACGTCGCGAGAAGAGCAGAGAAACTGGTCGGCGACATTTCGTACAGTTTGTTATGGAATAATTGTGAACATTTCGTGACGTATTGCAGGTACGGGACACCTGTGAGCCAGCAGACAGAGACGGTGAGTTATCTTCAAAAACGTGTAAAGTATAGGCTAACACACCTTCTGTTGTAGCTACTTAATTGCCTAATTAAAATAGCAGAATTAATAAGTTGGCTATTATGTAGGCTATTAATGCCATGTTATCAAAATGCCAATATTGGATCACAAACGATAAAATATTGATGATGATGATTTTTAGTGCCTATAAAAACCTGGAATTTTGAAAAACCTAAATTGGATTTGGACAAAGTCCGTTAATTTGGCTATATATATTTAATGTATTTTCTTGTGCAGTTCTGTGACTGTCTGAAAACCATCATTCGGGACCAGAGAAGTGTGGCCTTAACCATTGGGATGGGGGTGATGTACATCCTTTGCTTTGGCATGGCACCTTCAACTACATTACCCACAATCCTTATTCCCTTCATGCTGTGGATGGCTGGCTGAGAGACAATTTCTATACATCAACAACACAGTTCAGTCTTAAAGGGGACAAAAACACAAAAATGCAATGCATCGTGCAAAAGTGGAGTGTAACGTCTGATTATGTTTTCAAGCCATGTTTCAGCATAGCCTATAGTTTGCAATTTATATAACCTACGTTAAATTGTAAGCTTTTTCATTAAATTCATGAAAACAGGCCATTAGCTCTAGCTTGCTGCATATTTTTTCCTTTTAAATCATAAACTTAAAATTGGTAAAGCCAATATTGTTGTAGCTTAAAGTTACAGATTTCATGTGTAATGCTCACTAAAAGTGCCTTTAAAACATACATTATAGTTTTTTATTGTTATTTTTATGCTTGATTGTGAATTTGTACAGTTTAAAATATATATTTAATACCTTAAGTTCCTAAACAAGAACCAGAAGAAGAACATTATAGACATATGAATGTTAGATGTGTAAATACAAGTATCTCTGGTTTTGCTGTAAACATTTGATTTATTACCATATTTTCCGCAAATTAAAGCCAAAATGTTTGAATTCCAAGCAATCTCAACGTGGTTGAACCTGTGGAATTTGCATGGGCTCTATAATCTGATTTGTGCATCTGATTTAATATCATTGAGTGTTTTTAGGCCAGGTCAATGTTCTGTGAAAGATTTTTTTTCTTTTCTTTTTTTTTTAATAGTTTTATTGCAGAATTCTTCTTGACATTAAATCATACATAATAAAAAGGAGAAACATTTTAATTATTGAATTATATCACTTTGGGATGAATGTGGGTAGAATTTAATTGTCAATGTTCATTTTAGTGAAACATTTTAATTATTGAATTATGTCACTTTGGGATGAATGTGGGTAGAATTTAATTGTCAATGTTCACAAAAAGTGTTAGAATTGTATTTAGAAAGTATAGTGTTTGGGTCTAAAGCAGTGGTTCTCAACACTGTTGTCCCACCATTGTTAAAAACAATATTAAGAGGCCCCCATGTGAGTGCCCATAACATATTTTCTCTGGTACTCCTGCTTAAATGATGAACAAGCTTATTGTTTTCAAATATATTATTACCAGAAACAAGAAGTGGCTGTAATTTACTGTGATGTTTTTTTTTTTTTTTTTGTTTGGTTTTTTTTTTAGGTTTTTTTTTTTTTTAGATACATTTCAAGAATTGTATGTTATTAAAAAAAAGTAAAAAAAAAAATAATAATAAAAATAATAACATGCCCTCAAAATTTTTATTTTCTTTTACATTAAAGATGATTTAGATAGCCTACATTTTATATTTGCAAACAACCCACCTTGTTTACAAAGGATTTTTACAATTGTCTGCTTTGGGCAGATTAATGACAAGAAACCAATCTAGCCATGAGACATAGGGTTGATTGGTACCATTTTGAGGGATTAAACAGCATTTTTGTGGAGGTATATGACCCTGTATTTGAAAAATGTGTGATAGCATTAGATTTAATGTAATTTTTGGTTACGGAGGACGATTTTCAAACATATGTCAAGAAAAAGGATAAATGAAATTTGACTTGGTGGCATTTTATGATATGTCTGTCTAATGTAACACAGTCTCATCCCAAGAAGTCATATAACTGACGTCTTGGGACGTCTTTTGACCATACGTCAACATCCACCTTTTTAGGGTACCCTTAAACGTCGGTTCCATGACGATCCCGGGCCATCATACAGCTGACGCTTTACCTTTAACGTCGGTTAGGTGACGGGGTAGGTTTAGGGGTAGGTTTAGGTCTGGGGTAGGGTTAGGATCCGATAACGTCATCTAACCGACGTTTAAGGGTAGCCTAAAAAGGCGGATGTTGACGTATGGTCAGAGATTTGCCACATTTTTGTTTTATTAATGAGGTATTGAGGAAACAGAGTTAAAGGTTTCCAACCCAACATATATGCTTTTGAGAACAAGTAAGTGGTGGGTCCATGCACACCATATTAGATCATAGCTTTGTGAGAAGATTAACTGTTTATTCTGGTATTGAGAAGGTTTTGGAACATGAGCAAAATAATTTATTTACAACAAATTTAACAGGAATTAAATGAATTATACCTTTTACACAAAGAATGCAATAAATGCTAGTTAACCTCTTACCAAAAGATGCAGTGTTTTAACCCACTGTACTACTTTACTCTTTGATTTGTCATATCTAGTAAGAATGACTCTCCATGTCCACTTCATCACTTTTGGCATCATGAATTTCATCAGTGTCTGAAACACATGCTTGATTCTCACAATCAGGCTGCCTACACATATCCGTGCACTTGAGTCCATTTGCAACACAAACACATTTAGTAGTGGACACAGTGCTTTGGACAGTTGCAGGCCAATAAATCTAATAGAGCTTCAGGTGCTGGTTGGCCATCCATCCACTGATCTACCAGCTGGTCAACTCCTCCCACAGACTCGATCTTCCATCCATGACCAACAGGGCTAGTTGCTTTTGGGTCCCTTTCCAAGCATCTCCTCCATAATGCAGCCTGGTAGTTAGCTCTATGGGCAGGCTTCACTGTCTCGGCATGGTGGAAGCTGATGGCTTTCTATCTCACCCCTCTTAGCGCAGAAGAGACGGTATCTTAGGTCATTGACCTTTGTCATTGCTGCTTTTGGGGAGTAGATTTGGCATGTGAAAGTTTCCAGTTTGTGCATTAATTCAGATGGAGGTCCCAGTTCTGGCCAAGCAGTTTTTGGACACTCTTGTCTGTGATCAGGTACTTTAAAGCAGGGGTGCCCAACCCTGCTCCTGCCGGTCGACTGTCCTGCACACTTTATCTCCAACCCTAATTAAACACACCTGCCTTTTATTTTCAAGTGATCATGAATGTCACGGTTGGTAAATCCTATGTCTCATTCATGTCTCATGTTTCTGTTGTTGTATGGGTGTATGTGCTGATTGGACCGGCGTGGCCGTTCATCAGAGTTCATTCAACAATCACTCATCACCAGCTTCAGTCTATCATGCCGGTCTACTTAATCTCACCCATTTCTCATGTCCATTGTCAGATCGTTGTTTGTGATGTCCGGTGTCAGATCCCTCTGCGTTCCAGTATCCTTCGTTGTTCCTGTCTGTTTCCCCGTGGATGTTCTGGATTAGTCTTGTTGATCGTCACCTCACTTCACCTGCACCCTGTCTATCTGACCATCGAGTCCCTGCACCGCTACCCTGCTTGTCTGTGGACTGTGTACTGAGTTCTTCCTGCTTGTCTGCGGACAGTGTACTGAGTTTCATCCTGCTTGTCTGTGGACAGTGTACTGAGTTTCTAATAAACATTACTATAGTTTCTAATAAACATAAACGTTACTTGCAATTGCTTCCGAAGTCTTTACGTTACAGAACGATCTGACCAAAGATGGAAGCAGCGAGTGGCAACTCTGAGACGCTGGAGGAATTCGTCAATAACAGCAGACGGCGGATGGAGAATCAGGAGAGGAATATTAACGACACCGCTCGTGCTGTTCAGGCGTTAGTGGCGCAGGTGTCCGGGCTCACCCAGCAAGTCCAACAGCTGCGTATTCCCGCTGCGCCGGTCCCACCGCCGATTCCCCAAATACCACCAGTGGACTCCTCCCAGTCGGAACCACGATTACCAGCCCCAGAGACATACTCAGGTGAACCAAACTTTTGTCGAGCATTTCTAACTAGATGCTCCATGCACTTCTCTCTCCAGCCCACAACTATCAGGGAAGAAAGGACTAAAGTGGCGTTTGTTTTAACACTGCTGAGAGCGGCGCTATGGGGAACGGCGGTGTGGGAGAACCAAGAAGACTGCTGTACCTCGTTCCAAGAGCTCTCCCATGAAATGAAACGGGTCTTCGACCATGCCTTGGGAGGCAGAGAAGCGGCCAGATTACTGGCCGAGTTGCGTCAAGGACATCGTTCTGTGTCGGACTACTCGATCGAGTTTCGGACCCTGGCGGCAGAGAGCCAATGGAATGAGGAGGCGCAGTGGGATATGTTCCTGCATGGGTTGGCTGACCGTGTCCAAAAGGAGATTTACGCGATGGATTTACCACCTAAGCTCAATGATTTAATCGCTCTGGCACTAAGAGTGGATGCCAGATTATCGCGAGTGGAGCGAAGAGGATCCAACTACCGTTCTTTGGCGGAATCGGAGGGTCCTCGTGCTGGAGGTGGGGACGCGGTCAGTCCCATCTACAACTCCGAGCCCATGCAGGTAGGTCGAGCCCGGCTTTCCCAGGAGGAGAGGGAGAGGCGGAGATCCCAGGGCCTCTGCTTGTACTGCGGAGGAGCGGGACACTTTGCCTACAACTGTCCGTTAAAAGACCCAGCCCGGTAGTAAGTATGAGGCTACTATCGGGTGGGATCTCCGCCGAGAAGGCCTCATCGACATCGACTCTCCTTCCGGTTAGACTCCGATGGTCCAACCACCATCACAATTGTCACGCACTTTTGGACTCGGGCGCTGAAGGTAATTTCATGGACCACAATTTTGCACGCAATCACTAAGTTTCCCTCAAACCACTCACCCATCAGATTGCAGTGCATGCCCTCAATGGTCAAAAACTCCCCACCATATCTCTAGTTACCGAAGACATCATTCTCACCACATCAGGCAATCATTTAGAGACCATCTCATTTTACATCCTGGACACTCCGCTAGCACCCATCGTCCTTGGTCACCCATGGCTCACCCATCACAATCCCAAGATAGACTGGCAAATCAAAGCAGTATCGGAATGGAGCAGTTTTTGTCATAAGTCCTGTCTTGTCTCTGCCTGTCCGTCTGTTTCTGTTCATGTGTTTCAGGAGGAGACGGTGGATTTATCAAACGTGCCCACGGAGTATCGGGATCTGAAGGAGGTGTTCAGTAAAGGCCAATTTATACTTCTGCGTCGAGGGTACGCCGTAGTGTACGGCGTTGGCTACGCACGTAGGCGACGCCGTTGTGAGCATTTATACTTCTGCGTTCAGGTCTTGGTTGCTCTGCAGTACTGCTCCGAAACGCTAGTTGGCGGCGGAGAGTTTTAATGTTCCACTGTGTTTAGATTCCTCGCGGCTAGGTTACTACGAGTGAAAGAGAGCTGATCATGTTGGAATTGGAGCTTATTAAGGTGGAAAAACAGTTCACTTTAGTGAAATTACTAAAACTGAAAGGCAGAAATGAGAGAAGACTTCGGAGGAGATGAAACTTTTGGAAATCATAGACAGTGGTGGAAATGCGTGAGAAGGTACGTGCGGAAATGCGTAGGAGGAAATGCGATGCTACCAAGCCAACCAATCACCGATCTTGCGGTCCGCGTCGTCGCGACGTGTAGTTACATTTTTGAGGAGGTGCGCGTCAGGCGACGGCGAAGGGTACGCGGTATGGGACGCGTCTGTGCGTATGCTACGCCGTACCTACTGCGCGCACCCTACGCAGAAGTATAAATTGGCCTTAAGTCTCGGGCTGATTCTCTCCCTCTGCATCGTCCCTATGACTGTGGCCGTCCCTAGGACGGGCGTGGCCGTTCATCAGAGTTCATTTAACAATCACTCATCACCAGCTGCAGTCTATCATCCCGGTCTACTTAATTTCACCCATTTCTCATCTCCATTGTCAGATCGTTGTTTGTGATGTCCAGTGTCAGATCCCTCTGCGTTCCAGTATCCTTCGTTGTTCCTGTCTGTTTCCCCGTGGATGTTCTGGATTAGTCTTGTTGATCGTCACCTCACTTCACCTGCACCCTGTCTATCAGGACAGTCGATCTGCAGGACAGTCGATCTGCAGGAGCTGGGTTGGGCACCCCTGCTTTAAAGCACTAGCTTTACCTCTCCCAGCAAAAGCACTGTTGATTTCTAATGAAAGCTACCATGGATCAGATGCTATCACACATTTTCCCAACACTGGAGACGTGTACATTCATGAAAATCAAAAAGAAACTTAATCCATCAAAATGGTACCGGTAGCCCAAATTTGAGGTCCCGTCTCATGGCCTATACATGATACAGTACATGAGACAGAACTGGAAGAGTAAAAATGCTCAATTTAGCTTTTGATGCAACCAACCACAGTTTGAGTCTTTTCCTGATCTAATTTTCTCCCTATTCTCATTGAAAATTGATGCTCAATTTGTTACCGCGCCAAAACACCGGGACTCCCTTCCTGCACCTTCTAGGACACATTTACTGTAAGCTGGTAAGGGGTATTTGTAAGGGTGGCCTTTGGGGATAGAGACAAATTGGTAAGTCGGGCATACACTGTGCGATTTTCGTCCGATTTTGAGCCGAATTCTGACTCGTCCGACTCTTTTTCGTGTCGGACCGATTTTCAGCTTTGTCGTGCGTTGTTTGTCGTGCAGTGTTCGTGCAGTGTACAGGGAGAAATGAGAGGCGATTAGCAATCGGATGGTCGGATGAATTTCTGGCATGTCAGAAATTTTGGTCTCTCCTCGTGACTATATCGCACAGTTGAAGCAAAGCTACGAACCAATTGCAATAAACTCTGTGTTTTTTCCCTCACTGCACCTGCGTGAAAACTACGTCACGAAGTTTAAACATTTCATCTGCAGCAAAAATAAAATTAAAATAAAAACGAAAAGAGGGAGATCTTTAAGTTCTGTAGTTCAAACTGGCAACAAATTTCTGTTGCTTACCTCCAGTTCGTGTTGCAAAATGGATAATATTACCCACGTCTTCCAAGCCACCTGCGATGTGACACCTCTTTTATTAATTTGTTAAACAATGTTTTTGAAATAAACCTGTTTTTAATTTTCATTGATGATTAATTATGGCAATGTTTGGACATATTATTGTCACGGTGTGGCTCTGGCAGAGGAACGAGAAGACCGGAGTATCGGGAAGAACAAGGGTTTTTAATATATATATATAAACAGGCAGGCAGACAGGAACAAAGGCGCCACACGGGCTAACACCAAACATCAATAGACAACGATCGACAAAGACAGAGTAAAACTGAGGGAACTAAATACACAGATGAATCAGACATAATGAGGTGCAAACAGGTGAAACAGATGAAACAGGACGCTGAACGGGAGGCTGATGAGGGAGTGAGTTCAGGTGTGCAGACGAGAGGATCATGGGAAGTGTAGTGCAGGAGACGCAGACAGGATGGTGCAGACGCAGACTGTGACAGAACTCCCCCCTCCCGGGAGGCGTGACCTCACGCCGCAGAACAGGGGAAGGAGGGGGGACGATCTGAGGGCTGGGCGGGGCGTGGCCAGGGCGGAGCAGGCTGAGGGCGTGGCCAGGGCGGAGCAGGCTGAGGGCGAGGCCAGGGCGGAGCAGGCTGAGGGCGAGACCAGGGCGTAGCAGGCTGAGGGCGAGACCAGGGCGGAGCAGGCTGAGGGCGAGACCAGGGCGGAGCAGGCTGAGGGCGTGGCCAGGGCGGAGCAGGCTGAGGGCGTGGCCAGGGCGGAGCAGGCTGAGGGCGAGACCAGGGCGGAGCAGGCTGAGGGTGAGACCAGGGCGGAGCCGATGGAGGGAGGACCCCTGGTGGAGCCGATGGAAAAGGGGCTGACGAACAGGGGCGGAGCAGATGGGAGAGGAGACCAAGGTGAAGCTGAGGGACTGACGACGTGTGGTGCTGATGAGGGACTGAGGGAACATGGTGACCCCGCAGGCTCAGGTGACCAAAGTGATGACAGGGGCACAGAGGGACACGGTGAGGCCAGAGGGAGTGAGGACTGACGGGTGACTGGAGGGAGTGAGGAGTCCGACAGAACCGGGGGGGTGACATGACGGGGCGGAGCCAAGGGAAGGAAGTCCAAAGGTGAAGGGAGGATGACGAGGGAGCGAAGGGAATCCGGAGGGTCGAAGGAGCCTGGCCGAGGTGGTGGACTGAGGGGCCATGGAGGAGCTGAGGGAGGTAAGAGCCACGGGGGAGCAGATGGGACAAGGGGCCGAGGAAGTGTCCAGGAGGAGGAGGCGGGAGGCGAAAACCGGGGATCCCACGACCAGGCTGGGTCAGGGGAGCTGGCAGATGGAAGGGCTGATGGCTGTGTGACGGGAGGAGGTGGGAGAGGGAGGCTGGGTGGGATCCTGGTCTCGGGCTCTGGCTGGACGGTCTCGGGCTCTGGCTGGACGGTCTCGGGCTCTGGCTGGACGGTCTCGGGCTCTGGCTGGACGGTCTCGGGCTCGGGCTGGACGGTCTCTGGCGCGGGCTGGACGGTCTCTGGCGCTGGCTGGGCGGTCTCTGGCGCAGGCTGGACGGTCTCTGGCGCAGGCTGGACGGTCTCTGGCGCAGGCTGGAGGGTCTCTGGCGCTGGCTGGACGGTCTCTGGCGCTGGCTGGACGGTCTCTGGCGCTGGTTGGACGGTCTCTGGCGCTGGCTGGACGGTCTCTGGGGCAGGCTGGACGGTCTCAGGCGCTGGCTGGACGGGGCTGGACGGAACCAGCGATGAGGAGATCTCGGGCGTTGGACTGGGGCTGGTGCCGTCGTCAACGGTGAAAGAAGATCCACATGACACCAGCACCCACTCCACATAGGCAGCGAAGTTCCACAGAGGACCCTCCCCGGACAACAGCTCTCTGGTGGCGGTGTTGAGGCCAGCATATAGGAAGCTGCAGAGGCTGTCGTCCGGGAAAGATGTGGCTGGGACGAGGGAGAGGAAATCCGCCAAGTGGTCCTCGAGTGAGCGGTTCCCCTGCTCTAAGCAGAGCAGATTGACTGCAGCAACGAGGTCCATCTCCTTTTCTTTTGCGGTCGGTCGTACTGTCCCGGTGTGGCTCTGGCAGAGGAACGAGGAGACCGGAGTATCGGGAAGAACAAGGGTTTTTAATATATATATATATAAACAGGCAGCCAGACAGGAACAAAGGCGCCACACGGGCTAACACCAAACATCAATAGACAACGACCGACAAAGACAGAGTAAAACTGAGGGAACTAAATACACAGATGAATCAGACATAATGAGGTGCAAACAGGTGAAACAGATGAAACAGGACGCTGAACGGGAGGCTGATGAGGGAGTGAGTTCAGGTGTGCAGACGAGAGGATCATGGGAAGTGTAGTGCAGGAGACGCAGACAGGATGGTGCAGACGCAGACTGTGACAATTATAGACTGTTAATAGCTATTTTATATGCATATAATTCATTGTAATCAACCTAAATATTTTAGCTGATTTTTAATGAGAAGTAAGATTATGTAATATTTTATTATCCTCACAGCAAGTTGGTTATGTGCTATGAAAATATTGCGTGGCAAATTAATTACAATAGCGGATCAATTTACCTATATAAATAAAATTAGCCTATAGGCCTCCCCTAATAATTATAATACAATAATACTAATAATAATTAAATGCATAAACTGAAAATGGGAATCGACAGAACATGGCGAAGACAGAAGCATGAGGGACCCTGGTAGGGACAGAAAATGGAAACTAAAAAGGACAAACTAAAAACCAAGGAAACAAGAACTAAACACAAAGAACCAGAACTACACAGTACATGCCAATACAGTGAATGTGTTGCTCTTGTTACTCTTGTATAATATATACACAGAGGTGCAAACGGTATCTGCCACTAAATAACAAGTAACTCTTTTTACTCTTTGTGCAAATTTAATCTAACTGGCTCACGGAGAAAGGACCTGAAAGACTGCTCAACCACCACGATTAAAGGAGCAATGAGTGACTCCTGGCTAACAACTCTGCAGCCAGCCCAAATGTTGGATGTCAGGCAGAAATGCCTTGCATGTTTTTTTGTTTTTTTTTAAATGTGTGAGTTTTTTACACACTAACTGCAAATAGCATCAAATGTCCCCTTGGAAGTTTGCTCAGCCCCCTCAAAGTCAGAGTACAATCAAAGTTTCACTACTACCAATGAATACACTCTATACACTCTACTAATCTAGCACTCTAATATGAACAAAATATGTTGAGTGAATGATATTATAGTTATGGTATAGAATATAGATCATATACCTCATAAATACTAAGCATGTATAGCATTTCTAATTCAAATATTTCTTTGGTTTTGAGTTGTCATATCAGTACTTTTAATATTGAAGCTCTCAACTGCAAGGTCTTACATAACAGAAGTGCAAAGCCACACTTCCTGTGAAAGACTCACATTAGTAATGCGCATCCAGGCAGGCAAATCCCTGAACAGACTTATGTGTATATAAATGACACGCTGTTATGATACATTTGAATTTAATTCTTGATAGCATCCACTTGGTTAGGGTGCATTCTTCTAAAATTGTTCTGTTCAACTATTTCCTATTTCATCAAGTAAGCATTATACAACCAGCACTCTGCATTAATCTCGTCATTGACCCGGGACTTTTACCTCCTGGCAATTACAGTAAGGCTGACTTATTCAGCAGGCCTATTAATATCTATTCAGACACAATGGGGCTTATATAAAACTTGTGAAATCACCTTGTCGTAGTCAACATGTGATGCCCAAAAGCTGCTTAATTAAACAAACCACATCACTGCTCCAGAGCGGATCAAATAAATTGAGTAGATGTGAAGTGAACAGCATCACTATCCACTGCCTTCCACCATGATTGCTCTCAGATTGTTTAATTTGTTCTTCATCACCTCAGCGCTGGAGGACGAGTGTGAAGAAGACAGAGGGATGAAAACTTACGACTTTCCCTGTACAAGCGCGGTGACCTTTTGCTGGTGTCAAGGACTCTTTTTAAACATTTTGGAATCTACTTAGGTGAAGGTCGCGTCGCTCATTTTATCCCAGACATCCTACCAGTATTCACTAACGAAAAGTCCATGGTTGAGCAGATGGTGACCAACAAAAGACTGATTTTTGGAGTTTTGGCCAAGGCAGCCAGTGTTTGTGTAGACCCTTTGGCTGATTTTGCATATGGTGCACAGATTCAGGTCAATAGTACAGATAGTATGGTCAGTGTACAGCCACTGAATGGAGAGGAAGTGGCACAGAGGGCAGAGAAGCTGATTGGATCTTTCTCCTACAGCTTACTGTGGCACAACTGCGAACACTATGTTATGTATTGCTGCTATGGTGTTGCATTTAGCTTCCAAACCTTCCAGGTAAGGAAAAAAAAAAAAAAAAAAAAAAAAAACAGGGTGGAGGGTGATATGTGTGGAAGATACAAAAGTTTGGTGTTGCCAATATTTATTTGATCAAAAATATTGTGAAATATTATTACAATTTAAAATAGCTGTTTTTTATTTAAATATATATTACATGTAATTTCTTCCTGTGAGGGTAAAGCTCAAAAAAAGGGTGGTGCTCAAAAAACTTTTATTCATTAAGCACCCCACTGCATTTTTTTACTTGTCCATTATTGTTTTCAAATTCCAAGCATATCACAATATCCTCCTACGCAAGAAGGTTACTGATTATTTCTAATTTTAATATGTCAGTGAACTCTTACCCTCATGGTTTAGACCCTATAAATAGAGCAGAGAAAAGACTTGTGCACATCGTGTGCATTCTGTTGTAAACTTAACCACATGTGCTATGAAAATGTAGAATGCAACAAACAAACAGGATAACTGTCAGAGCACAAAAGCCAAGTCTGATCTATAACAACAGTTACCAGTCTTGTATTTGGAGCCAAACAGCTAAGACTATGATTATGAAATGTGTGAAAATTAGATTTAATTAGTTACTTCATTAGGTACATATGGACTAACAATGACAATTAAGTATTTAGAAATCTTCAGGTTAATGTTTATTTTTTCATATAAATGAATATTAGATTAAAGTCTATAACTAGATTTTAAAATAACTGTTATTTATAGACTAAATTCTATATCGAATATTGAATTGAATCTTTTTGAAAAGTATTACCAAAAAATATTTTTTACACATTCAGATTCAATAAAATAATATAAAAGAAGCATGGCTCTTTTCCTATTAAATTTGATGAGCTTCTTCTTCATTTGCTTTTACATTTGCAATATGTTTTAAAAGATTCCAGTATACTTCTTTATATCTGAATAAATTCTGAAAAGGAGACAGTGAAAAAGCCATTTTATTTTGCATTTTGAATAGCATCAAAAACCAGTACCAGCGCCATCTAGTGGACAGCTGGAGTGCATTATCTTACACAGTGACAGAAGGACTCATCAGTTTGTAAACCTGTAGCAAATGTTTCTAATATAGAACACAATCATCTGATTCCATTCTAAACATTTCCTCTCCCCTCTCTTTCAGTTCTGCAAAACTGTAAGGACAATTCTCTTCAGCGGGAAGATGGCCTTCCTGTCAGCTATAATTGGAGCCTTCATCATTTTATATCTAGGCGCTATGACACCTCTCACCACCCTTCCCATTGTCATCATTCCCTTTACAATCTGGATGGCATCTTGAAGACACTCCGGGTGGAATTTGTCCTTTAATGTTGATCCTGAAATTCCCTTAAAAGCATTTACTCAGTCAACATCTGCCCTTCATGCAGGCTACAAAATCTCTTGATATCTGGGACAATATGTGTCTGCTATGCAAACTATAGCCTAAATGTTACGAGAAGTGGTGATGATGGATTATTCATAAAAACTTTGATTAAATTGTCGTATTATCACATGTCATAGGTCCCCACCTAATGCTTATTATGAATATATATGATAATTATGATTACAAGGCTATGGAAGGAGTGGCGAAGGAAGATTTTATACATGTCCAGATGTCAGCTGATCGATCGGTGTGTGGCACCAATCAGTCTGCAGGAACCAATCCGGTGTTCTGCCTGGAAAACAACAAACACCTCCCACAACAACCCGGTCTCATCCCAAATCGTCATATAACTGACGTTTTGGGACGTCTTTTGACCATACGTCAATATTCGCCTTTTTAGGGCCCCCTTAAACGTCGGTAGATGAGGTTATGGGATCCTAACTCTACCCCATACCTAAACTTAACCCTAAACCTAACCCGTCACCTAACTGACGTTAAAGGTAAAGCGTCACTTGTATGACGGCCCGGGATCGCCATCTACCGACGTTTAAGGGGGCCCTAAAAAGGCGGATATTGACGTATGGTCAAAATACGTCCCAAAACGTCAGTTATATGACGATTTGGGATGAGACTGTGTTACCCACAACAGCATAAAACGCATACAGACCAGAAGGGACGTAACACTCCCATACACAAAAATAAACATGATAACATGTTTATAGACAAGATCTGGATAGAGAATCCGCAATAACATCATCTGTGCCCCTTTTGTACTGGGTGTGCAGATTAAAAATCCTGACAAATTAAAGCCCAGCGCATGAGTATTTGATTTTTGTTACAGAACTTTTGCAAAAATACAAATGCATTCTCATCACAAGGCGTCATCTAACTGACAATTTTGACCATGCTTCAATATCCGACGCTTTAGGCACCCTTTAGCGTCAGTTACATGACACGATCTTAAGGCGTCATCTAACTGACGCTAAAGGTAAGGTGTCAGTCAGATGACGCGAGTAGGGTAAGGATTCTCATCACAAGGCGTCATCTAACTCAGTGGTTCTCAAACTTTTTCAGGAGGAGGCCCCCTTGTGTAGGGTGAATCCTTTTGTGGCCCCCCAAAAGAAATCTCATAACGAAAACATCCTCAAACTTACAATTTTACTTACAAATTTTAGATTGAACCAAAAACAAATGAATTTGTACAATGCTGGAACAACAGTTCTGTTTTTAGCTTTATGTCTTTGAATATACAAAATTAGTTAAATTGTACATTTCATTAAATATAACATTTTTTTATAAAAAATGGTTTTGACAGTTAACAGTAATATTGTCTGAAAAGTGCAACAAAAGTATTGAATACTGAACATTTGTGATGTTCATAGTAAAAGATAAACACTGAAAAATTAATTTGCTGATTGTAAAAAAAGTGCATTAAACTTCTTACATTTTAAGGTACTAAATGACAGTGGCTCAAGTTTGGTTTGCAAATTTGAACAGCAATCTGTTTTTTTCAGCAAGAAACAAAAAAAAATTCTACTCTACTTAAAGAAATACTTTTTCAATATAGAAGACATACAATTTTATACAAGTTTTACAATATAAAAGAAATCATGCAATGCAGATTTCACATAGGACAATCCAAACTTACATACAGGTAAAATAATTTTTTTTAAATAATTTCATATTCTAGAATTTCTTTGCGGCCCCCCTAGCGCCATCTAGTGGCCCCCCAGGGGGCCACGGCCCCCAGTTTGAGAACCGCTGATCTAACTGACGCCTTGGGAAGCATTTTGACCATGTTTCAATATCTGACGCTTTAGGCACCCTTTAGCGTCAATTAGATGACGCCATAGGATCGCGCTAAAGGGCGCCTAAAGCATTGAATATTGAAGCATGGTAAACGCGACTCCTTTAAGCTTTGCGTTTCGTTATCCACTGGGCCGTGCTGCCTAGTTCAAAGTAAACTAGTGAAACAACTGAAACCAGCGATGTTTTGTTCTCTATTTGTTATTACTGACCGAGAAAACGCTTCAGGTGAACGAATCCGAATCGTTTCAGACCGTTATGCACGTGCGTTTGGCCAATTCATGGAAAGGAAATAATCAAACCAACGAATGATTAATATCGCTGGTTCAGTCGACAGAAATACGGGACACGCATAAGAACTGCTGAAATATTCGGACTGTAATCTTTTCTCTCATGTCAGTCGGAGCGCTCATGACACAGTGCGTATAGGCGTCCAGCTGCACGCGCCACTGCGGCCACGCGCATATCTAACCAAATTTAGCCGCACCACTAGAAAATAGGAGGAGGGAGGTTAGGGTGGCCTCGGGCCGTATGGAGATGAATGGCGGGCCGCACTTCGCCCGCGGGCCTCCAATTAAATAGCCCTGATCTAGAGAGTATATATAGCACACTGAAAAATAGTGTTCGACTTGGGGACCCATTCAAAATCTTCCGCGGCCCACTTGTGGGTCGGGACCCTGCCTCTGGGAATGACTGCGTTAGATGACGTCTTGGGATGAGAATGGGCTGAAAAATACAAGAGGGCTGTGATGTGATCAGTAAAAACTTCAACAGGTTGTGAGCTTGAGCTTGCAGGTAAAACAGGAGCAGTACATAACAGACTCTTCAAAGAGTCAAAAGCAATCTGACACTGAGGAGACTTCTGCTTTTCACAGGTTATCAGTTAGGGGTTTAATTACATCAGAAAAATTCTGTAGTACCCAGCCATGCCAATGAAACCTCAGAGCTCCCTCTTTGGTATAGGGAAATTGACACTGACTTTGGCTTCTATTGGTTGTACAGTGTCCTGGTCTACTTCCTTTCCTAAGTACTGAATAGTAGCATAAATTTCCCATTTAGCAGATTGAGGGTTAGATTAGCTACTTGAAGGTCCAGGTCTCTGAAAAACACACAACATCGTCCAGATATGCCTCACAATTTTTAACATTAGACAGTACTATACATCAAACGTTTAAACGTTGCTGGAGCATTCATAATTTATAAAAGCTTCCAGTGTTTACTTCTCATCACATGCACTTTTTCAAACCATGTGTAATTATCTTTATGGGCAATATAACAAATTCTGCATAATTTATGTCCAAATTGAAGGCAGTGCTATTTCATTCTACCGGTAATGCTATTCATCAATTAAGGGTTACAAAGAAACAGTAATATTTGGATAGTCCAAGTGATGTCAGAAAGAATACTAATGGGGATAATTATGATGAATGGCAGTTATTGGAGAGATGCTGCAGACAGTGTTTACATTAGCTAGAGTCCTAAACTGAGCCAGTGGGAAATTACTTTGTTTGTTTGCAATTACAACAATGGCATCATTCAGTTATTTTTAGATTAATTGAGCAGACAGGTATTTCACATTTGAATTAAGGGGACACATTACTTGCAATAAACATCATTTTTAAGTTGATAATGTTTAAGTTGAGCATACACTTTTCAAAAGAAGTGTGAAATAATTTAGGTTTCTTTATTTACATTTGAGATAATCACTGAGAGAAAACTTGCAGCCAATATCCTAAAGTATAAGGTTGTGAATCTGTCATACTGGAATAAACTGCAAATAAAAAGCTGCTCTGATCATAAAAAAAAAAAAAAAAAACAATTTCTCTAATAAGTTATAACTGCAGTCCTACTTTGACTGTGACAGATGGTAAAGTAAAACCCTGAAGTAAAACATAACAGCACTATAGATCACTGGATTAACATCAGAACAGTATAGGGACTTGGTTATTTTTGTCTTTGTGTTCTCTCTAGTGTTGTTGCACTGATGCTATTTATGTCAATTTGCCTGGCTGGACATTTACCTCTGTCTCTAGATGTGAATGAAAATCTATACCAATTAATTAGACAGCCAAAAGAGACTAAAGCTGCCAACTCAGTTCTATTAGAAACCTATTGCACTGAGATTTAAGGGTGTTTAGCTGTTGTAAACAGTAAATACTGTAGATACTGTAGCAACCAAACTGCAATTACTGTTTCAACAACCTAGCATATGAGAAGAAAACATTATAAAACACATCACAAGACAGATTTCCTGTGGTATGAGCTCCTAAATGAGAAAAATCAAGGAAAGGAAAGCTCTTTTAGACAGTTGTTTGTACAATCACTAATAATATGCTGTGGATTTGAATGCAATGGGGTTTGATAATGTTGAGCCAATAATATTAGTTTCATAGTGGATTCCAAATGAAATATATTTCACATGTCTGAAAAGATTATTTTTTAGGGCTGAACATTTTTAAGATTTAAATGAAGAGTTCAGATGCAAAAGCCTCTAAGTGCCATTTGAAATTTTCTTCTTTAATGATGATTTTTATCAAGCTTGTATATTTAAGTTCAGTGATTTCACTTAAATGGCAATGATAATTACCTATTAATTGTTATTTAAGTGAAATTACTGAACTTAAATATACAAGTTTGATAAAAATCATCATTAAAGAAGAAAATTTCAAATGGCATTTAGAGGCTTTTGCATCTGAACTCTTCAAATAGTACTCAAAGACTTTGTAAAAGGCCTAATCCATAAATCTGTAAAAGTCTTCTGAAGATACACGATTGCTTTGTGATAGATTTAATTTAAGCTTTTATTAACATATAAACATTGATCAATGCAAGTAAATATAGCATGTGAAATATGGTAAAAGGACACTTGTGTGTGCTTGTTTGTCACAAAAATAATTTAATGTAGCCTATGTTCTTGTTCTTACTGTGAACAATTGATTGGTGTTCTTCCAAAGAGAGGAAAGATTATTAAACCAAAAGTAATTTGCTCTTTTTCTGGGTTGCAAATGGCAGTTCTTGTTGACTTTATCCTTAATCAATATTCTTTACGAAGCACAGCACAACTAATCTAACTTCTCCTTAAAAGAGTATGGCTCCAGAGAAATCTTATG